TTATGCCATACTCTTTTATGGAGTTTTCCAAAAGAGTATGGCATAATAAACACTTGAAGAAGAGTACCAAGATCAGTGTTTACAGAGCCATTGTGCTGACTACTCTCTTATATGGTTCCAAATCATGGGTCATCTACCACCACCACCTGCGACTCCTAGAACACTTCCATCAATGCTGCCTCCGTACAATCCTAAACATCCACTGGTCAGATTATGTGACCAATACATCTGTTCTAGAACAAGCAGCAGTCACAAGTATTGAGGCCATGTTGCTGAGAACTCAGCTGCGCTGGGCAGGACACGTCTCAAGGATGAAGGACCACCACCTCCCTAAGATCCTGCTCTATGGTGAACTTGCCACCGGCTGCTGCAAGAGAGGAGCCCCGAAGAGGAGATACAAGGACTCCCTGAAACAACATCTCAGCCTTGGCCATATTGATCAACATAACTGGTCTCCTCTGGCCTCAAACTGGGAGGTCTGGAGACACACCATCTATAACGCTGCTGCTTCCTTTGAGAACACACACAGGATCACTCTTGAGGAGAAAAGACAATGCAGAAAGAACCGTGTCTTGCAGAATTTACCACCTAAGGAGTCTTTCTGCTGTGCCTTTTGCAATCGGACATGCCTGTCTCGTATTGGCCTTTTTAGCCACCAACGTGCTTGTAACAAATGTGGATAGAGCTTTTTCCAAATCTTCATCTGTGAAGCTTAGCCATGATGATGATGAATGTAAGTAGTATCCATAGAAAGACAGGAAAAGAAAATACACTGCAAGGTACTTTTAATATTTTCAGTTTGACTCCACTATTGATGTGTGAAACGCATACCTAGGAGCTGAGCTGTAACAGTAGCTGTGCTTCCAGGCAAGGTATTCCTTCCTTTTTTTTCTTTTAGTAGACTGATAATACTGGTTGTAGAGCCATGCATCTATTTCCTAACAGGAAATTAGTGCAGCAGTATCAGGCTGTGCAGATTTTCTGTAAGCCTTGGAGTGAGAGGGAGAAAGGAGATAAGAGAAGGGACAGAACCAAAGACCACAGTTACTTGCTAGTAAGTCCTTTCCCAGTGCAATGCAGTTTCACACTGTCTTTTTGTTGGGTGTGGAGTCATATCTGGCCTTGGCAAGAACCATCTTACAAAAAAAATTTCGTGAAGAACAGGAAATCATTTACGTTAAATGGCTTGACAGTTGAACAGGGTGCAGATTAGTGGCATACAGTGTGATATGTCCTCATGGAAACGATACTGTGAGGGAGAACAGATATTCTGCCTGGCTTGAAAGGAGTAGCTGCTTGGCTCCTTTCTGTTGTCAGCCACCTTTACAGTCAGGGTGTGCTTCTGATAGTTGGCTTGAGTTTCCTTTTACTGAAGTAGTATTGTTCTGCAGACTCATTTCACTCTGATGTGGTTTGCTTCTGAAACCACTGAAGAAGCATCAGTGTGATGAAGTAGCTTGCCTTCTTTATCATTATCATTAAACCGATGCTACAGTGGTTCATGACTAGTTTCTATTCATCACCATGATGTTCTGGTTGCTCAGCACCATGGTGGGACTTTTTTCCAAAACAAAAAAGGCATTTGCAGCCTGAAATGGTTACTAACCAACCAATTGCTGGCAGATGAGTCTAGTGGTGGTATATTGAATATCTGGCCTAGTGACCCTAGTGTAAATTGCAGTCACAGCCACTGAGAACCATACCTCAGCAGTTAAGGTATATGAAGAAGGAATGTCTGTTCTTCTTTATTAGTTCTCATGAAAGCACACTGTTGATGTGGACAGTTAGAAAACTTTTCAGATTATCTCACTGATATCTATTAGTTTCTTCTGTCTGTGATGCAGTTAACTTTAAGACCAGTTCTCCTCATAGATAAGTTTGCTATGGTTTTCATTAGGAAATTTTACTGGATTAAAAGACCTTTGCAAATCTATTGGCAAACAGAAATAACTTTTACCATGTTCTCCTCTATCTATTTACCTTGCACAGAGAAGTTTGGTGGTGCAATACTCACAAGTTTGCAAACAAGGTATTTCAGTCTTGGGAGTTTTGGGAAATTCTTTCTGCTGGAATCAATTTAATATATGAGGTATCTTTTGCCCTCCTGCCCATATTTTCATGTTGTTGCTGGTGGCAAATAATCTGAAGAAGGAAACTCTAAATAAAATTATTTGGGATTCTTCATGAAGTCCCAGTATGTGTTGGAGATAGGTCAGATATTAACAGTAAGAGGCAGGGGAGTCCAGCACTTATAAGCTGTTTATCCTCACAAAAGGATCTGAGGCTGGCCTAAAGTGCTAGGATTAAGGGGTCAGAAAAGTTTTTTGTAAGAGCTGGAATTCAGTTCTGAGAAACTTTTTTTCAAGTAGATTCTGGGCCTTAGGCATATCCTTGAAATATCTCAGAAAAAACTATGTCTCTTGTAAGCCCCATAGGTAACTTTGTTTAGACTTCCATGATGGGTTGACTGAGGCAGTAAGACTTCATCCTTCTGGGTTCTCGTGGTACTGAGGTATAAGTCTGTGACCTGTTAAGGATAAGGAGGGAAGCTGGAGTTTTATGAGGGTATGTGAGACTGTGTAGGCTACTGTGAAGCAATAGCAAGGGAAGCATCATTTGAAGTTTTAGGATCCTACTCTGCACTGTATGTACATTCTGGGTGCTTGTTGTTCATTTTTCCAGCTAAGATAAAACTGCTCTGTTCTTCCAGCTAACCTCCTATTCTGTTCTAGCATGTGTTATCTTTTTATTTTTTAGGATGTAAACTGGTGTCCTTGGCAGACCAAAGTCCCTGCTACAGGAGGTGGAATGAAAGATGGGATTTTCAGTGTCTGGGAAATAAATTGTGAGAAAATCATCCAAAGTGCAGCTACAGATTCTCAGGTGAAATGATGAAATGTCTGCATACTTAGGCTATGTTCTTTTTGTATAGTTGTGCTCATTTGGCAAACTCCAACTGACTTGGAGGGTGGTTCTGCAGTCACAGGAACAGCAGGATTTTTTCTGGATGCGCAATTGTGCTACATTCAGCACTGCAGGGTGTGATTGGATTCAGAAGCTGTTTGTTGTTTCTCATTCACCACTTCTGTCTGCATACCAAACAAAGTGACTGAGGAGGAGATGGTCATACTTCTGATCTTATTTCCCTATTGGTAATAATAGTTTTGGCCAAAGCTCTTCATGTGGAGAGAATGTTGAAGGGGAGAAAAATTTCCCGGAACATAGGGGTAAGGAGAGGTGTAAGAGTCAGAAGGCAAGCATCTGTCTCTGGAGTTTGAAAATTAGGAGACAGAGGAACAGGTTCTCAGCTTTAATAAAGCAGCATAACTGTTGCTTTGCTGGAGCTATTACAACTTAGCTGGGGATGTGTTTTAAGGGCTTTGGTTTTATGCTGATAGGTTATTACCATGTTTGGGGACCCCTGGTGCTCTAGTGGTTAGGATGCAGCACTCTCACCACCGCGGTCCGGGTTCGATTCCTGGTCAGGGAAACTCCCCCGGGCAGATGGAGCTCGTCAGCCCTGTAAGGCCATCCATCTAAGAGAAGGTCACTCTAAACAAACCTACGTCCTGAGGACCTCACTGACACTGTCCAAGCTCGCTCGGCCCCGGCAGATGAACCTTAGGATTAAAGGGTGGGCTCAGCTCAGCGCACACTGTGTCTCACCTAAAAAATCCATTGCGCAGGCTCAAAGGGTAAAGACCTTTCCCAAATCTTTGTTCGCAAAGACTGACCATACATATTACCATGTTTAGATAGGACAACAAGGCAACTGTACTTTCAAGAGCTGTAAGGAATTAAATGATCTTTCTAAAAAAGTGAGTATTCTGCTGTGACTATTTCCCAGTAGCTTGTTTAAACATTGTAGATAACACTTCAAGTCTCTGAATGATGTATGCTACGCCTTTCTGAAAACTAAAGCAGAATTTTAAATTACAATGGATTTGTTCTTTGCTCTGGTTACCCAAAACCAGCGAACTGATGACAGGACAAGGCCTTCTTGGAAATCAGATGAAAATATGGAAGTATCCCGTGCTTTTCAATTCATCAGAACTCTATGGCAAGTGTTTCAGTTAATAGCTTTAACTATTTCAGTTACCTGTCTGTCTAATCAGTGTGGTTTTCCAAGTGCATACCTTATGCATTTGTGTAAGAAAAGAGTAAAGAGCTTCACATCCTCCCTCTGCCTACATAGATGTGTTCATGTGCACAGTCCTGATTGTGGGATTGTAAAGGTTGGCTTATTAAGATAATAATACGGGTTGCTCCTGTGAGATTCCTTGGTTTTAACGATGGGATACTTTCCTATAATTTCTAAGGCCATGCCAGGTTCAGGATATGTATTTCCACTTCTTCCTGAGGCTTATTAGGCCTGAATTGAATCTGCTAATATCAGGTTGCTTCCATTATATTCTAGGCTGATGACTCTCCAGGTGATATAACCTAGATATGACTGCTTTTGCAGCTCATTATGCAAGGATACTGAACTAGCTTCCAAACGCTGTGTGAAACAAATATCCATGTGTTATTTAGAGCTGTTTGAATTTTAAGGAATGATTTTGGCTGTGAAGCAATGTGGTGCAGAGTGTTTCCCTTGTAACCTGCTGCTTTCCTTGCAGCTCTGTAGTTTTATACAGTGCTGTAGGGCTCCACTATACACAGAAGCTGGTCCTTGCTATTAAACCTCTCTGTTTCTGATGCTATTCATGAAAAAAAAGACCAGGTTATTGCTACACAGACACATTCCTGCTTATGAAGACTCTTAATAACTTGCTATAAGCAATTTAATGTTGGAAGAAATTGTGGATGTATCAAAATAAGCTCACAAAAAATACTGTGATGGATGAGATTATTCTAAGTCAGCCTGAGACACCCTTAACCACAGAAGTTTTACATTCAAAGAAATGATCAGATAAATTGTAACTGATTTTCACTGTTTAATGCTCCTGCAAATGCTGAAGACCCCAGCTAACGATGAAGATCCATCAGTACCTGTTGAGTACTTTAGTAATTAAGATTGACTGTCACTTAGCATATTCAGAAAACAACAACTTGAAGATTTTTATAACATTCAGTCCACTTTTGAGATACTTCTGATAGAACTATTAGAGTACTTTGTTAGAAAAAAAGAGAATAATTTGGGCTGTAAATGCCCTCCCTTAGAAAAATTGTTGCAGATCGAAGAAAACATACAGGCAAGCAAGATATGTAATTGCTTTGAAAAATACTTGACCTGAATGTGATCTTGAAACAATGAAATAAACCCAGAAAAGTCCACTCAGAAAACTTTTTGACTGAGACTATTAATCAAATTTCGGTCAGTGTTGTGGAAGTTTTGGATGCCTCAAAAGACTACATCTCAAGCTCTTCCTTCAAAATCATTATAGACAGTGAATGGACACAGTGTAAAGAATTCACTGAGCTGTAAGCTCATGGTCCTAAATATAGAGCAAAGATTATGTACGTTTAAGTAACTTGAGAAGGAGCAAAACCTGAAAATTAATCTCTGCTGAAATAATTTAATGGTGGTGTTGAAATTCAAGTCACAAAGTTTAGGAGGAACTCATATTACTCAGCACCAGGACAGCAGATATTTGCTTTTAGTTACAGTGTCTCCAAAGAGCCATTGTAGCAGGTTCACAAAGTTGAGGGATTCTGTTCATTTGCAACAGTCCTGTGAGGCTTCATCGGGTACCATTGTGGTAAGTACCACAGCTACAGAGGGCTTTACAGTTTCTCACATGTTTATCTCCATAATATTTTTAGCCAGACAAGTGCAATCCTCTTGTGTTCATGGAAAACTCAGGTACAGGTCTTGGGAGGAACATAGGTCACCCACATTCATTTAAGTTGGTCACACATGATTTCTTACCTTCACACTTCCTTTTAGGATGGGCTTCATCTGGTCTTTTTAGAAACTGTGACTCAGAAGCTTTTGTTTTCACTTGTGTGACTAGCTTAGCTATGTGATTGTCAGTAACTCACCCAGCCAGAGAAGCCAATGGGCAGTAACAAGGAAAAGAGCTTCAAATTTCTCACTCCACTAAGTGCCTAAAAACCTCATGGGTTTGCTTAGCATTGGCATACTGTTAGATGATACAGGAGGTCTATGGCAGAGCAGTTTGATAAATACATCTCTCAACAGTCTCAGTTTAGTACCAGACTCTTTCTGCCTTCAGTTCAAAATCAGTTGCTTCTACTGAGGGAGGTTCTTCTATAACCTGGTTGATGAGTTTTGCACAATCTTTGTGGTGCTAGACTGGGGGAGCTTCTTGCCTTCAGTGTATAGACCCAAGATTTACTGCCACTGCAGACAAAGTCAAGACACAATTTCACCAGCTATTTAATGGGATCACTGTTAAAAGATCTTAACAGTAATAGCCAAGTAGCTGGAGACACTATCTCATTACTGTTGGATCAGCTACAAACTGTCTGCAAGGCCTGTGCAGCAAGATGGGAAAGCTCAGAAGTGAGAGACATTACCAAATACAGATGAGACTGATGTTGTAAATGTGTGGAGACTCAAGAGGTCAGGTTCAATGTATTCCTTGGACAGAAATATCTCCTCAATGTGGTGCAGTCCTGTCAGTTAAAGCCTGATGTCTAATAAGAATACATTGCCTTCAGCTCTTTATTAATATGAAAATATTCAACAGATAATCCTAGCTTCCCACATCCTATGCAGCATATTTTTCTGCTACAGTAAAAATGGAACAAACCATAGAGTGGGTGGGGCTGGTGAAAATATCTGGCATAATCAGTGTAGACTTCTGCTTTTTCTTTCATTTTCTTTTGTGCATATTTTATTATACAGGTCACAAAAGGAGAGTCTTGCATATAGCCCTTAGCCCAGATCAGAGCAAACTCCCTTCTGCTGCAACAGGTGGAATGGTTTGTCTGTTGAAATGCCATGAATCTGTGGAGAGCAAACACAGCAGCAAGGCTTTTTAACAATGGTTATTTGAGCTCATTCTTATGACTTCTTTTCCTTGAAAGCTAGTGATTAATGTATTTAGCCTATTCAAGAATTCAAAATATGTGTCTTTCTTCCAAGGGAAACATGGCAAAAGATAGTACAATTTATTTAAGAGAACGTAATTTTCCTTCTCTGTCCATCATGTGAAATGTTAGTAGCTTGTCTTACCCTAGAGGAAAAATATTCTAACTCTAAAGAATAATGTCACATATTTTTTCATTGAATTAGCAAACATGGATCGAATCCACCAGCAAGTACCAGCATAAAGTCTTAGGTGCTGCTTCTAGCTTTGCTTCTTGTAATAAATTTTACATTATCTTAGCATTCCCACTAAGAACAACATGCTAATTAATGTAAATTGCCTTGAATTGTTAAAAGACTGGGATCAGCAGAGACCAGTCTAGGGGTCTATATTCTATGTATCACATAGATCATGGTACAGAATCTATCTAAATATTTCTAGATATCTAGGTTAAATAAGGAACCATAACCAAATTTATTGGGAATTCTTTACTATTTTCATAGTAGTAATGATAACTAGCTTAATTAGGAAACTGTCTTTATTGGATTTTTAATGGTTTCCTTTCCTTAAACCCAACTACTATGTTTGACAATGACTGAAAATATAAAAATTTGCATAATAATTCTATTATTATGCAAAATTATGTAGTCAACAAGTTAAGAAGCCAGATGGATGAGTTAAAGAAACTTGCTGGGTCAAACACAACTGTTAGTTCATTCATTCCTTAAGGGTACCAGTTCAATTCTGGTTGTCAGCAGACTGTGCAGCTGTCACCGTCTCTTGACTTTTATGTAATGCTCACAAGGACCAAACCTCTTGGAGTTTTACAGACATCTGCCCATGTAAGATTTGTACACTGTCAACAGCCAAGGAAAGATGTCAGGACAGGTTCTCAGAAGCTATTCAGATGAAACTCAGTAGTGCTATTCAAAATGTGTTCTGTTCACAGACATCTTCGCAGCTTTGCTTTCATTATTAGGAGTGATGAGAGGCAAGGGGTAAGGGTTCACTCTTGCATTTGTATATTAAAAGCCCTGTGAACTCAGAAATTCATATTGTTTGGATTTCTTTTTTTTTATTTTCTTCCCCCCGCCCCCCCATCAAAATTTATTTAGAATATTTTCTGTAGCTGGTGAAGAATAGGACAATAAGGGAGTAGAACAGTGTCAGTTCATGGAAAGTTACACTGTGGTCAAATGCATGAAAAGACATAGACAGGGCAGAAGTTATCTCTGGAAATGAATGTGAAACTGTCATGTCTTTATTTCTCATGGTTTTTCAAACCTCATCTTCTGCTGTTCATAAATCACGTGGTTGCTAACTTTAGCTCTGTAAGGTTGAGACCACTCAACTGTTTTACCTAGTAAGATGTTAATTTACAATAAATCTGCTCATGTGGTCTTCAAAACACGTTAGAAAATGATAACTTTGATTATCAATTGAGAAATTACTACTAAGAAGCTGATGCCTAAGTATGGGAAATGACTTATGCTGTACCTATCTTCTAATATGAGCATGTTTGTTGCTGGAGATTTTATCAAACACTTAGAATCTGGTTTAAATATTCAAAATAGTATTTTAAATAATTCAAAACTTTTAGAACTGTTAAAAACATTTTTGTCTCCCTCTTGAATGTGAAAAAAAGAAGTGGTATTAGTCTCTTTATGCATGTATTTTTTTTAATTCTCCCAGAAATTCTGTTTCTTTCCTTTGGCAGCACCTGAATTATATTAGTTTGCCCAATATAGGAATAGGTATATAACACGGGATGGGATGATGTGGTAAGGAAGGACCTGACCAATACTGAAACCATGTATGCTTTGTTAGATGTTCAAATATCAAAATAAGATATTGTCTTGGTCTAAGAACTGCTTATATTTTAGTTACTTATTACTCATTGTTGACTTGTCAAACTGTATTGCCCCAGATGTATTTTAACATAATACCTAAAAGTGGGAGAAGTCACTTACTTCAGTAGAACTAATCAATAACCCATAAATATGAGAGAACCTTTTTCATGTGACCTGTAGGTCTGTTATGTGACCATGTTCAAGAAGGCTTTGAAGCGTGCATTTAAATTCCAGGCTGTAACTAATCTGGAGTGAAATAAAACATGTATTGGAGTGCTTTTTTCTGACTGTGCAGAGTGTGCAGTTGCTGCTCTTGCATAGCTGTCTCATTCTGCCAGTGCATAGGTCTTAACATATGAAGTCTTAATCAAAATGTGAAATCCTGGCTTTCTCCCTGTAGAACATGGCATACTTTATGATCATTGCCTGTTATATTGTTCAGGCCCAGGCAGACACAGAAATCAGAACCCATTTCTAAGAGGTCAACTTGTTCTGCATCTGAGGTCTGTATGCAATGGAGGCTGAACCTCCAGGGGTGGCACAGAGGACTAACTAAAATTTAAGTTGCCTAAACTCAAATCTTCATCCCTACAGTCCTATCCAAGGTGGAGCACTGCACAACACGTGGAATCCAAACCTTCAGGTCAAAAATACTTTTTACAAGAGGAAACACATCATTGCTCATACAGTGCCTGTGTAGTCCCACGTATATAAATATAACAAAATAATTGTCTGTAATGTAATGAAATGGATTAAAGAAATTCAGACTGGGGAATCCATTTTTTTCCTCACTTAAAAGCACTAGTCTTGCAGACAGTTCCCTGTTCTGCCACTATGTGGTCAGACTTGATGCTACCTACAGAAATCTTACATTAGTTTGTGTAATGCAGTTTATACCTGTTCATTTCCTCCAATTTTCTTATATAGACCCAGTAAAAAGAAATAGTTACATTCTAGATATCACAATGTATTAAATTATCATAATATTTTTCTTAGCTAGTATGGGTTCTATCTGACAGTGGTGGGATTGTATGCGAATGCGTTCATGTCTCTTGATCAGAGAAACTCTCCACCTAGATAAAAATTCAGTTCTCTCTTGCTCTTTCTTCTGCTTTTCTTCCACAGGTTTACACTACTGGCAGTAATGACAGAGGCCAGAATACTTTTTTTACCATGTAAGTCCAATTTCACTGGCTCATTTTGCATAATTCACTAAATAATGCTTATGTAAAAACACGAATTTTTAAATTATTTTGGGATAGATCCTGAATTTCAAGCTAGAAGAAGAAGGTTGCACATTTTTCTCTTGCGCATTTCTTCATGCACTGTAAACATCTCCTTGGCCAGGACCTCTCCTTCCTGAGGAAATATTGAATGACAGGCTTTGAGTGGGATTTTTCACTGACAATGTTTCTGTCTGTGACTTCTAAGGAAGAGGAAAAAGCAGACCATGGAGGAAACAGTAAGCTGAAAAAAATGCAATAGCAGGATGAAAGAAAGACATTGAAAAAATGAGTAAAGAGCAAAGAAATGAATTAAGACTATTGTATGAGAAGGGTGACATAGCCCTAGAGGTGGGCTAGAGATTTTTTACTAGATTGACAAGGATATTTTTGTTTTCTGAAGCTTTTTTAGAATTAGTTTTTGCCTAAATAAGGGTTTGGTAGTTTCCAAGAATAGAAAAAGTCTGGTATTACTTATTTCCTGTGTCTTTAAAGACAGAATCAATTCACCATTTTAGGTGTTGGTAGCAGTCAGTGGGGCAATTCTCTTGGTTTCACTGATGCAATCTTAGTTTGCTGGTAATTCTTCTCTCTTCTCCTGTTTTGCTTCTGTGTTTGTGTGTGCCTCTGTGACTGTGTTTTTGTGTACTTGTTTGTGGGTACTTGTTTATATGTTCAATCCAAGAGTAAAAAAAAACACTTTAGGAATAAGAATGGGAAGGTGAAAAGTTCTGACTGTGTAATGCTTGTAAAAAATGGAAAACAAAGATGATGTTCATCATCAAAATTTTCAGTAAAGACCTCTATAGTTTAGGCCCTCTCTTTCCTCATCCTTCATTATTCCTCTGAGGCAAAACTACTGTTTCTTCTCAAAAAGATCAGGTTAAGGGAGTTGTGTAAAGAGGTTTTAGTTTGTATTTTCTCATGTTGTGTTGTAAATGGTGCTTTATCACTCATGGTGAACAGAGCAATAATTTTTTAATTAAAATCAATGCAAAATTTCTCCACTCTTTGGATGTCCCCTGCTTTCTTTTATGTGATGCCTACCTCCAAGTAGGTGTGTGAAGCAGAACAAAATGAAACCAAGCCCTTCTGGATGTGTTAATAGCATTGCAAATACTGAAGACTGTTAATAGAGAGACAGGTAGAAACATTTTTTACAATAGATATGTGCACTTCTTGACAAGTCCTTCTTCAAGCACTTAAAAAATTTCACTGCGTATCTGAAACAGCAGTAGTGGCATCATATAATTATATTATGAACAGTGCTTCATGTCAGTATGGTAATACTGATACTCTAGCTGTGACATTTCTTGTCACTTCTCTCGAGTATGGGTTTTCAGCTGATTTCTTTAACATAATGTTGCTGATTTTGGTGTATACAACATCATACAGATAGTACACATACTAGCTGGACTGGAACAGACAGAGCTTTCCATATAATATGGCAGCTGAAATCAGTAGATTTTTATTACCATTTCTTTATTAAATGCAAAGTACATGAAAGAATAAAATCTAGAGGTTTCAAATACAGAACAGTTAGGAAATGCACACTTACAATGTCCCAAATGCAGTTGCTGCAACTTAACTTTCTGAAGACTTGCAATCTACTACACTTGTAAAATCAGAGAGGCTACTAAGCTTTTCAGATATCTGGAGTTGTACCCAGCATCTCACTAAATATCAGGATTATTTGCAGGGTTATATAGAAGAGTGCAGTATATACTCAGCACGCAACTAGATGGATTAGATGTTTTATCAGAAATACTAATCCATGTAGAGCAACATGCAACACAAGAATGCTGGAATCCTGAGTCACAAAACTCCATTCAATGACTCCATGGCTGAGAGTATAAGCTATAAATGCTGTTGTAGCTGAA